AAGAATAAAATTAAAAATAAAGTATAAAATAAAATGTTACTTATAATAATAATTGCACCTTAAATAAAGCTAAGCTCACATTATAAAAGGTCTCCCCTTGAATATTATTAATGAAGACACTAAAGAAGAAGATCATGCCCCCAGTACCCTATTCTGGGTAATGTGGAGGTTAATATGAGTAACTTTTACTGTTACATCTGCCAAAATAATTGATCTTTTTTCACAGCAGTTATTTTGACTTAAATAAAATAGGGTAAACACAGGTGTTACCAATGATACTAACTAAGGCTGCATTCAGGTCAAGTAGTCTTTTTTGCTTAGAAAGGTTCCTAAATGAGTTAAAGGACCCGGAAGTATTTGAGTGTTAGCCATGATTAGAGCTGTTTGAATTCTCTAAATGCTAAAGAAAGGAGCTATTTCTTATCGATGACATCTATTTTATTTTGTTATTTAATGTGTATTTCTTATTTTCTTATTTCCTGTGTTACATCTGGAGCTGCTGTAACAAGTTTTCCCCAGTGTGGGATCAATAAAGTCTATCTTATCTTATCTTCAGTGCTTCCTTTATTATCTCCTTTAGCAGAGGATACTCTGGACCATCCTTTAGATACGAAAGGAGATAATGCCGTCCCACAAAGCAAAGGACACAGATTATTTATTGTATTATTAATCTACTTGTAATGAAGCTGTGTAAATCATCTTAACGTGTATAAACATTATTATATTAAAATGATCAAAGTAAAGTTTTGTTGTATTACCAGCCTTTAGGAATATAATTACAATATTTTAATTGTTCTTCAGTCACATATGCTGAAACTTCAGAAGGATCAGAGTCAGAATGAGTTTTATATTCAAGGAGGTTTCCACATAAAGGAATCTGCCTCAGTATATTGGTGCATAACAATAAACACGGGAAACAATAGAATATTAAAAAAATAAAATTAACAGTAATATATAAAAACATATTAAACATATTATAAAGACAATAATAGACAATATGTACAAAATGGCTGGTTTTTTAAATGGAAGATGTACAGTTTGTGCAGGAATGTGCAGAAGGTCACAGTATTAAGCATAAAGAATATTTGTCATGTGCAGTAAAATATTATATGTACAGTAGTAGATTTTTATTTTTATTATTTCAGCTCCAACGTTGGCAACACGGGCTGTCTGCGTGTATATCGCCTACATGAAACAACACGGTGAGCGTGCACGTGCGAAGTACCTAAGATGCGCTTTTTGTAGTCCATCTTCAGGAAGTTGTAGTTCCACCACAGCAGATACGTCATCAACATCCGCCGTCGCATAATTACGTTGCGCATTAAAGTGCCGGCGGATTATTTCAGCAGTTTTTAAGAAATGTGTCTAGAAATTATGATCATTTAGTATAACCGTAACTTTTTGAACCAAATCATGCAACAACAAAAAAACAACAACAAACCAAAAAAAACCCTGCATGTATACTCATGACTTCTACTTCGAACCTGTACGTCCTGCAGTC